AACTTGGCCTGACGTCATCTGTATTCTAGAAACTCATCTAATGGACAAACCGGAACACAATCGGGCCTACAAGGCCGTCTGGCCTTATCAAGCTTACAGAGCACATACGATCTCTCCAGGGTCGGCAGGGGTGGCCGTCTGGATTCCGCCTGAATCCCGAATAGAGGTGGTTAATTGGGTAATGGATGAGGAACATGAAAGATGGGTATCAATCCTTGGAATGCTGGAAATTGAATTAATCTGCATTTTTAAATAAGTTTTTGCATATATGCACCTAACACAACAACAAAAAGGAGACACTTCTTTACCTACCTTCAATCACTGGCACCTCAAGGAATCCCTCTGGTCATTGCAGGGGATTTTAATATCGCCCCTGACAGATGGTTGGACAGATGGGGCCCAAAGGACCCCTGTCTGGTTTACGTAGAGGAGGATGAAAGGATAATATCAGACTTTTGTGAATCCCTGTCCCTGGTGGACTCTTATAGACTCTTACATCCATCAGTGCTACCGTACTAACGATCCGACTAAGCATTCAAAATCATGCATTGACTTAGTACTGCTCTCGCAGGAAATTCGAAATACCCTGCAACTGGCTACTATCTTTCCTCCGAGTCCCCCCCTGGCCTGGACCACCGTCTTTGTGGGGCTGTTTTCTCCTTCCGCAAACGTCCAGACCAGGGGCCTAGTTTTTACAAATTCAACACATCCCTACTTAAGGACAAATTTTTCCTCATCTTTATTCAAGATGTTTGGAACTTCTGGAGGGACCAGAAACACCTTATTAACTCAGAAATCTGATGGTTTACCAACGGGCTCTTCTTTTTAGCTAGAAAGTGTAAGGAATATTCCAAGCTGATAGCAAACAGACGGTACACACATGAAATGGACATCCATCGAAGACTCCACAACCTGGTTAATCGGGACAATTCTAATTATCACATACACAATGTCCAAGCCTTGCAAACTCGACTTCTACAACTAGCACAACATAGATGGTAAGGTATTAGAATCCGAGGAAAATTGGCAAAATGTTCCACCGAAGGAATCATGGCCTCTCAATTTTTCAGCCTAGTCTCCCTAAGAGCACACCGAACAACCATTGAAGCCTTTGTGGATCCTGTGTCCGATGAAATAGTTACCTCCACAGCACACTGTGTAAGGATCGCACGATCCTTCTACAAAGATTTCTTCTCCTTTCACATTTCCCAACAGCAAGAGATAGGCCGATCCAGGGAGCTAGATGCGTTCCTGCATCCGATGAAAAACCGTCTTTCTTTGACACAGAAAGACAACTTGGACCAACCAATCACCAAGGATGAGGTATGAACAGCGCTTATGCAAATGGAGGAAGAAAAAAACCCTGGATTGGACGGCTTCCCTAAAGAATTATGGGAAACCTTATGGCCCACCCCGAACGAAGATTTGATGGAATTCTACAGGGCAGTATGGGAATCCGGCGAGTTGGGAGAATTAGTGGGACAAGGGGTGCTAACACCGCTCTATAAGAAAGGAGATAAAATGAACACTCGCAATTATCGGCCTATCACACTATTTACGGTGGTCTACAAAATGTTATCCAAGGTACTGGTCAACCGAATGATTAAGGTGATGGACGACATTATCCACCTGGCTCAGACCGGGTTTATGTGCAACGAGAACATCCAAGAAAACATATTACTAGTCAACGAGGTGATCAGCTTGGCACATTAGTCCAGAAGCAATGTCGCCCTCATCTTTATTGACTTCGAAAAAACTTATGATCACGTAGACTGGACGGTCCTGGATAAATGTCTGGAGAAAATGAATTTCGGTGTCAATTTTTGGAGGTGGTTACGTATCCTTCACGACAACGCAACTACAAGCGTTCAGGTGAATATGGCCATGGCCCCAGAGATTAGATTGCAACGCTCCGTTAGACAAGGGGACCCCATAACCCATTTTCTATTCATCATCATAATGGAAGCATTAACATCCCACCTTCGACAAAATAAAGACTTAAAGAGAATTCAGATAGCCGACATCCCCAAGGAAGTCGTCCCAGTCTGTTCCCTCTTCATTGACGACCTCACAGTTATGGCTGATGCCACACCACAAAACATGGAAGCGATATATAGGTTAATGGACCTCTTTTGTAATCTCTCAGACATGGTCATTAACTGGGGACAAAAAACGATAGGATGGTGGTTCCATCATCAAGGAGGACGTCCCCTGGAATCACTTGGGTGGCGCAAGAATCACCTATTCGGATTCTGGTGGTCAGGATGACTGCGTTAGGTCGCTCCCCCGAGAACGACAAATGGTTGTCAGACCCTGCCTTTGCCAAACTGTCCCTATGGAACAACCAACACACGTCACTTTTCAGACGATCTCTGGTGATTAACAATGTGGTCCTCGCAACCCTTTGGTATAAATCAATACTCTGGCCACTAAGTCCAGGGGCCCTGAAAACCTTGAAACGAAAAGTGGTTGTATACCTATGGAGAGGGGACAGTGAAACTCCGCGCGCCATCAGTCGTGTGGCTTGGGACTCAGTCATTCAGCCTAAATCGAAAGGGGGCCTTGGTATTCTAGACCCCCTCACACAGACCTAAGCCCTTACCCTACAATGGGTAGTGCGACCGATTTTTGAAAACCAGCTAATCTGGAGGCCTCTGGCCTTAGCACAAATTGTCCGTTTGGCTCATACAGCCCCCCAATCAGTTCATCCCTTTCGATGGCTAGAGGATCGCTACTGAAGAATCCCGCGTCGACCTCGGGGAGGGGAGGGACGGAGGGGATGACTTTTGGCCCCGAATTCTTAAAATTTGGAGGAGCCCCCCCCCCTCTAATCGCCCAACCCCAGACAGATGGGAAGAGGTGGCGAGACGGCCCCTCTTTGGTAATCGATGGATCACCAATGAACGATGTCAGGTTTTTTGTGGCTCAGATACCCCATGGAAGGGTTGGGTGAAGAATGGGTAACTTCTGCATACCAGCTTGGTACACCGTCGGGCAGCACACAAAGGTGTCCCCGATATTATGGTCGATTGGGCTGTAAACTAGACCGTGAAGCGCTGCCCGGAGCGGAATGACATCATCCTCACACACTTCACCCAAACAAACCCTGTTTCGCCACAAAACTGTTCAATAAACATCCTTTCACGTCACCAATGGTTGGGAGTCGAGAATCAGTGAAAGGTTGTGACGGATGAGAAAAGAAAGCCGAAGCCACTTGAGAACGAAGATTGGAAACCAAACCATCTTTCAAAGGGCGAAGAAGATTCTTAGAGTTCCGCAACCAAGCAGGAAAAAACGAGCGGGGATTATTAATGCGAAAGTAAACGTGACCATCAACATGGGGAAGAGAATCCTCACACCCAGAATATGTGCAAAGGACATTGTTCATCCTGGAGAAGCTACGAAAGTATAAATCAGGTCGCCAACACTCTTATTCCGGCACCATACAACTCTACCCTTCCAGCACTACTCTACCTTGAGACTGCGAAGTATTCGATCATCATAAATCAATCTGACGACAAACCGCTTTCTAACATGCACACCAAACCTCTTCAGAATGCAACGAGATAATAGACAGTGCAACCGAAACCTAGATCTCTTCTCACCAAAGGTGCGTACCGCAGTATACGCCGCAACCACACTTTCAAAGAACCATTGCATCAGGTCAACACGACTTGCAGGATTCCTCAGGAAGCCAGCCAACGGATCTTTCAATCCCAACGATCGACTCATAAAGGGGATAATGGACTTAAAGGTTAGTAGAGCTTCATCTTTAATCCAACCACGTGCACGTCTGAATTCTTTCCTCCCAGAGACACAAGACACCAGACTACCGCCATACAACCTTTTTAACACCTTCCAGCGGTCAACCATTCTCTCCCCTCCTAAACATTTGACAACAATACGGTGCATGCTCTTCTTGTAACACTCATCCAGAATATTAAGCAACCGAAGAGTAGAATAACCATCGCCCGTATGAAAAACACAGATAGAATTACTAACCACCTTACCTATTTTTTGAAGGCTCATCATCTTTACCGGTCCTTCTTTTATCCCTCAACCTCTCTCTTAGACTAGGTCGGCATCTCCGAGAACGTTTCGGTTTATCTTTGACATTAAGAGAAGGGGACAACAATTTGACCAAAAACTTCTCCGTCTCTTGTAGGTCATCTATAGTACAGCGACACAAGAGAATGACATCATACGTGTGTGTGCCCGAACAATGAATCCACCGATAGAGTTTATCTTTTCTTCTACCCCCCTCAACAACCTTCACCTGACAAGACCGATAAACGTGTTTCCGCCAATGGGAATGTAGATCCTGCTGGGTACTTCCTCCATAGACATCATAGACATGACGAGACGCAGGAGAAACAAGGGCATAGACCACCGGACCCTCTCATTCATCATTCCAATTAGACCAAGAAAAAAACGAAAGGAAGAACTCACCGAGTTTTGCACACCATGGGATCTCACCAAGCAGCCTTAAACCACAAACAGCAATGGTCAAAAGACAGTTGACTACCTTACATCACAGGAACTCAAAGGAGGCGGAGCGAATCCTGGAACAAACCCTTACAACCTTCCATAAAAAAGTCGCGTCGGGGCGAATTCGTGCTCGATGTCAATAGCGAGCCCGAGACTTGAGAATCCACGCGGCACTAGATTGCCTGAGAAGGTACTCACGCAAGGACCTAAACCTTCAGGAGACAATTCAATTAAATTCGAGATCGTGGGAACTGGGGAAATAACTCTAAGAAGTAGTCGAGTCACGCCCGTCATCCCTTTGAGAGTTCCCTTCGCCCCCATCATCCGTAACAATAAGCAGTGAGTCACATGTGCCTTTACCTTTGTCATGTCCGTTCTTACCAAGATCCCTGGCAACTCATTTTTGTGCGATATCTTCCTTGGTCGGATCCAGCGTGGTGTATGTAACACCCTCCTCACATAACGCAACGACCTCCTTTTTCCTCATGTTTCGGTGGTGTTTCCGCGCTTCACGCAACAACGTGTCTTTGTTGTTAACCAACACAACTGGAGTGGCACCTGCCTTCTCCTTATCCTTCTTTGTTGATGGCTAGGCCGCATCGTCTAACTTCGTTTTGAGATTCGTTCCCCTTGTCTTCTTACTCGTTTGGAGCCGCACCACTGCTTCCTTGAGGCGCTCTACCTCCTCCTCAGACTCTTTACGCTCGTTAACTTCCCGAATCCGCATTTCCTTGAGTAAGTCAACCTCACGTTGATATTGCTCAACCATACCCTTGAGCTGCAGATTGACTCTTCCTACCGCATCGGGAGATGCACCCAGAGTTACCCTCGGCGTCACCTTCACCTCCGTGTAGGGAGTTTGGTCAATAGCGACGCACCCCCAATTATTACCAGGGCGGAGTGCTTTCAATTTCCATGCCTCCTCGTTGGCTTCGACAATTTCACATTGCTTCTGCAGAGCAAAAATCACCTTCTCCATAGAGGCAAACCTCTTCTCCATAGCGGCCTTTGCTTCCGCTTGTTCTCGTCGAACGCGAGCAACTTCATCCTTAGGGGTTGGCTTCACCACCAGAGCAGAAGTACTGGCCCCATTTTTACCTCGGCGTAGGACGTCAATATGAGCCTTCAGTCTTACCACCTCCGCACTCCCACTCCCTTTACTCTTCGTCATTGCAGAATAGTTATGTTGACGTCTCAACTCTTCTACCTAAGCTTTAAGCTTAGTTACTTCATCCGCCTCGCTTGATTTCTTGCCGTTAATCGCCTCACACACTCTATCTAATTTCAGTGATATCTCTCTGTTCAACTGTGCTTGAAATTTCTCACGTTTCTTCTTGTCACGCTGTTTCCGTTTTTTCTCTTCACGTTCAGACTTTGTTCTTCCTCTTCACGCTCTGTTCGTTCCTTTGCTTCCACCGCCTCGTGTTTCGCATTAAGCTTGACAACGTTCTCTTCAAGACTGGTAACTCTCTTACCTAACCAGCCACCAACCCGTCCTCCATTGTACTGACTGTTATACGTAGGAGCAATGGTGTCAAGACCTGTGCTTGAAGGCAACGTCAGCAGTGGCTGCGCTGGAACAATCGCCGTGCTAGCAGACAACTAGCCTCCATAAACCTTCGATCAGGCAACATACAAACTTGAGAGATGTGACCAGGTTGACCACAAATTACGACCTGCAGGCAGACTGGGATCGTCGTTGGACACCATCCGGAGGGATAATCGAAGTCACACAACCGTAGTATCACTTCTACGTCGGTTCCTCCACGTAAAAAAGTACGTTGAGCTTATAGCTTCCAGACACGGTGATGGCAACAAACAGATCCAATCATACACCACAGAAAAGAAGAAGAAGAAGAAGAAGAAGAAGAAGAAGAAGAAAGAAGAACAAGAACAAGAGAGAAAGAGAATCAAACCCACGTAGACAGGTATCCCCGAACGCGACATATGTTAAAACTACCATTTCGTCAAAATGAATATTTTTTATTTTTCGAACGAAATTGAAACGGAGTTTTTTGGCCGAAAGTCGTCCAAATTTACTGCTCCTGATAGTCCGGCGTTTTTAAAACACTGGACCCTCTGGATGTATCTGGACGAAGCTTTAGACCAGATACATCCACAGGAGACCGCCTGGATGTATCTAGTCTCAAGCTAGGTCTAGATACATACAGAGGGTCCAACGTTTTAAAAACGTTGGACCCTCAGGAGCAGCAAAATTAGACGAGTTTTCAGCCCAAAAAAATGAGTCTCAATTCCGTTCAAAAATAAAAAATGTTCATTTTGACGAAATGACACTTTTAATAAAAACATAGCATGAAGTACAAAAATGGCGTTATGACCCTACCGGTTTCACCGGGCACGCCTATCCGGATCATCAGGGGTCTAAGTCATCTTGAAGGACAACTGATCAAGAACAACATATATAAAATAACGGAACCAGCTGAACGACCAACTACTCCAAGCCACCGGTAACTTTCACAGAAAGTCGTGACATTTTTTTTAAACCCCAATAGGAAACAACTCGAAACCCCGAAACAAAAGATACCTCAAGGATAGTTTAGAAATTTCCAAGTACCAAACCCCTACTGCGAGTATCTTCTTACCCAATCATGAAACCCAATCCAAAAAGTATCAATAGCAAATACCAACCCAAGACCCGTGTTCAAAACCGGAAGAACATATTTAAGAACAAAGGACTCATCATTACGACGTTACTTGGTCGAAACCTACTACCCATTTACTAAAGAGGCAAGGACCAACCAAAATAAACCATATTACGAATATTCAGCTACAACCGACCACTACAGTCGAAAACTGTCCCCTAACACGGGCGCCTTAGGACCCCTTCCTTTCAACTAGGAACCACCCCCATTCAGTCAAAACTGGTATCCAGTCACTCAACAACCCCCCAAATTTTCTAAAATGGTCTATGTTAATGAGAATCTACAGATTGGTAATGCATGATAATACAGTTCTCCCCAATGGGCAGAAGAAAACAAAATGGGTCAAAGGTAATCAAGTTTTTAGAATTAGGGCAGTAAAACAGAAAAGTAAATGGCTGGCCTTTAAACCAGATATACCCATCTCTCAACTGGCGCTGGATCTAGGTTTGACTGCACCAGGAGGCAGAGGTAGGACCTATTCCAAGGTTGCATATCTTCACAGTGAAATCGACAAATAGAATGCTTCGTCCAATAATTATTTTTAAAGACAGTGTGGTTGCTAGATGGATGAAGCACGTTAACGTAAGCAGAGAAGCATTTCGCCCAATTAAATGCTTTCATTTATTATTATTATTATTATTATTATTATTATTATTATTATTATTATTATTATTATTATTATTATTATTATTTTAAAGCAATCCCTCACAGGTGATAGTGATGTTGGTAAGAGCAGACACCACTATCACCCTAGGGGAGGCTCCATTTATTGGTGGGGAGCTTCACCTGCTGGAAACTGTGTCCAAGATTGTTGGAGAAAATGAATCAGGAAGATGAACCAGGGACCTGTCAGCATTGATTGCCCTGGAGCCCAAGGGAATGACTGCACAGGTTACGTGATAGATTGTGACTTATTGACTTATGCCTATGCCATTCCAGGATCTTGCTCAAGCAGGCACAGGGGAGGGTTTGGTAGCTGACAGTTAGAAAGATAAGGATTGGATTCCTTATTCCAGGGGGCGACCGAAAATAGGATCCCCGTCCGCGCTTCCTACAGCCCAGCTATCAAGCTTCACTGTTGTCCAGGTTGAGCGGTCTGTCTCCACTCCCTACTTCCTACCATACCAACTTAACTCCATCAATGTGTGATTAGGGAGGGGGAAAGGGTCTGGGAAATCTGTGGGGGGGGGGAGGGGATACTGTCAGGGATCATGGTCCAATCATTAAAACAAAGTCGAAATTTTTTTTGCCTAGCTTCCAATCTCTGGTCGTCGTCTAGGTGTCAGCCCTCCCATTGGACCCTTGCTATCCTTCCCCCACGTTACCCTCCCAACCGGTCCATGCAGAATTCATTTAGGTAGCGGGTGATGTCATATTTTTTTAGAGAGGGGCATTGTCAATTGTACTAATCATGTCCATCAAGTCGTGCTTGTTGTCTCAATTGTGTCGTTGATCATCTCTATTATCTCGCCCCTCCCCATATGTGCACCATAAATGGCCAGTATGCAACGGCGCCTCCAGATGGCCCACAGTACCACTTTCCTACCAATCGAGAATAGGTTAGAGGTGAAAACTGAACCTTGGGCAGTTTAATGTCCACAGAGCAGGGATCTCCACTCCCATGGCCAGCCCGTTGTCGGTGCGAATACCCTTACAAGGGTATCCGCCCTGGGTTTTTGCAAGTAACAGGGAATAAGGTTGATTTAAAGTTTAAGTATACCATGCGGGGCGCGACTGGGTCTATGGTTTACAGTGATTGGATGGTTGACTAGAGTAGGGAGCGTATGGGTGCGCAGGGTTGAGGCGTGTGTGATTCCTTTTTCCTTATTTGATGATTGTGGAGTCGACGTTTGGTTGCCGACCAAATTTTACTTCTGATTAAATTAGGATTAAAAAGATTATGTCTTGTGATTGGAATGCTTGAGCGTGACATGTGTGTACGTACAGAGGTCGACATCGACAACAATACGACTTTGAAGCGTTTCCGCAGATCCGCAGGCCGCACAACAACCGCTTATCTAGGGGTACACTAATAAATTGCTTAGCGTTGGGCCTAGCACTATTTGGCTACGGTGTTAGACTTTCATCCACGAGATTCAAGGATCGAGACCAGCGGCGAAGGCGTAGGAGTATTGTATCTGCGTGAAGAAGCCGAAGGGTTGAGGATGCGGCGGGGCTATTCCTCTTTGGTTTTGTCGTCAGCGGAGTTGGGGCGGTACTCGCGGTTCCGTTTCCTCGCCTGTCGTACTCCGGCGGCTAAAAAAATTCTAGATATTTTATTTTTCATTATCATATTATTATTATTTTTATTTTTATGCTTCGGTGTTCCTTGACTTAGCTGCGGCGCTGGATTTAGAGGTCATCGAGGCGGTCGAGGACTTCGAGTGGGCGCCTCCTTTGTCTGACCTACGGGTTCCTGTGTGTTCGAAATGCCGGCGAAAATTCTTGACCTTGCCGTCATGAAAACTTAGCCTGGGGAGGTCGACGTGAGTGGGGTCCGTGGTCGTGGCTTCCCTCGCTTCCCACTTGGAGAGCATCGATAGCTTAAAGTGGAAGGGAATTGGTGAGCATTCCAAACGGGCCGGTGGGAGGCCGCACTATAGGCCGGGGTTCAATTGGAACCCGTTCTCCACTCCGGTCATCGAAGTTCTATTTTAAATATTTATTACTGCCGCCAAGATATATGTCGGGGACCCGCCTCACTTAAGCCCACGCTTAGGCTTGCAGCGGGCCCGTGCATGCGACTCTGCGGGTTGCTATGAGAAACCGGAGTGGGACTTGTCCGCTGCAGGTCCAAAGAGGTGTTGGGGCCTGTTTGAAGGCAGTGGGACGGAGGAGGCTGTTGTCAAGTGGCATAAATGTTGTCGTGCCATTCTACTGGTCGAACTTGGGTGTAGGGGCGAAGGACTAATAGAACTGTTCTGTAGTAGGTTTTCCTCAGAAGTTTCCCGTAGGCTGGCTGGAGCAGTCGAGAAAGCTACAGCGCTGGCGGATCCGGGGTGAGGGAGGCGGCGGAGAGGCTCACAGTGGAACTACATGCAGTTGCTCGTCGGACTTCGGTATAGAGGCGAAATGCCTCACCAGTCCGGCTGGCAGCTGGTCCCCTCAGAAGGAACTCCGAATAGCCACTCGTCATTTGAGTTGTGCAAGAGGTTACGAGCAGGCAGATGGGGCAAGATGCTCAAAGGAATAGTGGAGGTGAGAGGAAGACGAAAGGATAGAGTAGGGGCGAATCCTGAGAACAAGGCAGGGAGGGAGGGAGCCGGAGGAAGGGCGCAGCAGTGAGAGGATGAGTGAGAAGGGAGCGTGCACCTAAACGGGAAAGTGCGCCGGATGTATACGCAAAGATGGTGGAAGAAAGGCTTGAGCTGTCGAATGAGCATAGCTCGCTCGATCCTTACCGGAATCGAGCGAGGGAAGAGTCATTTTGGGGGTTTGTGGACCGGGCGAGTACGGTAGTGAAGTCAGTTTTAGCGCTAGGTTAGTTAAAAGAAAGTTAGATTGGAAAAACCTTGCGCGGAGGTAGTGTAAAGGCAG